GCCATGTTGAGTCCCGACTCCTGTACTGAAGGTGGCTGCAGCACAACCCAGTGAACAATGCTGGTATATATGTTAAAAAATGACACCCAACTGCATTGAATGTAAGCGCCATGGGTTTATGTCCTGGAAGAAGACAAGATAGAGGGATGGGTCAACTATTGTAGAGTTTTGAAAATAAGACCCTGAACAACACTATTGACAGACGCATTTCTCTGAAATGAAACTGTCAAGGCTGAAATCAACTTTGGAAATGCACAAAACTTAAAAGAAATATTAACGCTGGCCTTTGCCAATTGATTTCATTGGGTCAGCAGGCTGTGCATGGGGCTAAGTCTGTGTGTTCATGAAGACTGTTTCACATACATAAGACTTATCTATTTGCAGCTCGGAAAACGAAATCCCAATAAATACGACCATATTTGGACACTTGCCATAGCAGCGTGAAGACTTTTAGCTGTGATGTAGCTGGTCCCCCGGGACTGGCCAGCTTGTGTGGAAGTAGCACCACCACCTCTAATGACTACACAACTTGTTAATGGAGGCACACTTGTATTGATAGATGAAATATATCACACATTAGGCCAGCATTGCGCTCCTGTACATCCTTTCACATATTTCACCATGACTCTGCCCAGTAATTGATATACTTGGTGTTATGCCGTGACTGGTAGCACCAGTCTAAAACAAGGATTAATTCTCTGCTCTCCCTGAGATGCTGTCAATATTTGGATTAATGTTCCAGGATATTTTTAATCAATGAAAGAATGATGTGTGACAAGAGTGGGGATGTTATTCCAGAAGATTTGTTGCCCCAACCTCCCAGACTCTTGCCATGTGCTGTGCTAGCCAATCAAACACTACAATTTGTTTATTGTTGTAGTGGTGCACAGGAATTCATTTATTGATCACCCAGGGGGCACAAAATTCCTGCTGGAGTTATTCTTTTTTGTCTATTACAACAAATATGTGTTTGTCCTTCACAGCTGCTCGGCAGCTTTAAGAGTTCAGATGTTATGCCTTTCACATGACTTGAGCTGTTTAGAGTTTGCATAAAAGTTGAGTAGACATTAGATATGGTTCAGTGTGAACAGCTGCAAAAAATGGCAAATAATAATTTATGACAATGTACCTTACATCATACTGATAAGAAGTATTGAACATTATGAACATTGTTGCCTTATTTGTTTTAGAAGTCATGACATTAGAAAGAGAGAGAGACAGAGTTCTCATTTTCTACTGATATTTTACCAAAATACTTACAACTTTAGTATCAAACTTTGGTGTAAATATGGTTGTGTCAGGGAAACACTGATAGTGGCCTCTGATAGGGGCAGTTTTATAGACCGCAAGTTGCACTTTCTTTCATCAAGGCTGTTGAGTAGCCTTGTGGTTGAAGTGTTTGCTTGCCATGATAAAAACCTGGGTTGATCCTCCACCGATATTCAGAGTGGTGAGTAAACATAATTTTTAATAACTTCTGGTTGGTTGACTTGATAGGAGTGGATTAGCACTAATAGTTTGTGTGATTCTTTACAATGTTTGTTTTTACATGAATGTATTGTAACATTTATCAGTAAGGATAGTGTACCATCCCAAACAAAACGATATGCCCCATCCTGGTTTTTTCCTTGAATATGCTTTATTGCCAATTTGGTGAATGATGAAGATCCCAGTGCACTCTAGTAGAGATGGAGGAGAGACAATGTCATTAGTTTCAGTAAAGTACAGTGGGTGGGAACCAGTGGCCTGAAGACATTCTAAGCTAATACCACATTCACATATGAAAGGAAGAGAGGATAATTTGTCTTTGCTTCATGGTTATAGTTCATGCAAGGGCATTATTGTATCCAGGTAGCCATGAATTATTTTGCCCCGGGTAGCAGGGAATGTTTTTTCCCAGGTAGCCAGGAATTGTTTCGCCCCAGGTAGCCATGACTGGTATTGCCCCGGGTGGCCATAAATGGTATTGACCCAGGTAGCCAGGAATGGTTTTACCCCAGGTAGCCAGGAATGGTTTCGCCCCAGGGAGCCAGGAATGGTATTGCCCCGGGTAGCCAGGAATGGTTTTGCCCCGGGTAGCCAGGAATTGTTTTGCCCCAGGTAGCCATGAATGGTATTGCCCTGGGTAGCCATGAATGGTTTCAACCAAGGTAGCCAGGAATGCCTGCACCACAGGTAGGCATGAATGGTTTCACCCCAGATAGCCTGGAATGATTTCAACCCAGGTAGCCAGGAATGCCTGCACCACAGGTAGGCATGAATGGTTTCACCCCAGATAGCCTGGAATGGTTTTGCCCCATATGGCCAGGAATGGTATTGCGCCAGATATCCAGGAATGGTTTCACCCCAAATATCCAGGAATTGTTTTCGCCCCAGGTAGCCATGAATGGTTTTGCCCCAGGTAGCCAGGAATGGATTTGCCCTGGGTAACCATGAATAGTTTTGCCCCAGATAGCCATAAATTGTTTTGCCCAAGGTAGCCATAAATATTTTTGCCCCAGATAGCCAGGAATGGTTTTGCCCCAGATAGCTAGGAATTGTTTTGCCCCTGTTAGCCAGGAATGGTTTCACCACAGGTAGCTATGAATGGTTTTGCCCCAGGTAGCCAGGAATGGTTTCACCCCAGGTAGCCAGGAATTGTTTCGCCCCAGATAGCCAGGAACGGTTTCACCCCAGGTAGCCAGGAATGGATTTGCCCCAGGTAGCCAGGAATTGTTTTGCCCCAGGTAGCCAGGAATTGTTTCAACACAGGTAGCCAGGAATGGTTTCCACCCAGGTAGCTAAGAATTGTTTTGTCCCGGATAGCCAGGAATGGTTTTGTCCCGGGTAGCCAGGAATGGTTTTGCCCCAGGTATCCAGGAATGGTTTCCACCAAGGTAGTCAGGAATTGTTTTGTCCCGGATAGCCAGGAATGGTATTGCCCCAGGTAGCCAGGAATGGTTTTACCTCTATAACACAAGGTCCTTCATGATAGTGCAGACAGATTTATATCAATTTTGTTTTGTAATAATCTGGTTTCATTTTACAATAGCATATAATACAAGTCTATATTACTGGACATGCCTGGGTATGCTTGGTGTTGTCATAGACAGTTTGATTACAATCAGCAATGCCACTCAGCAACAATGTCCTGGATATGGGAGATGACTCTTCCATTTCATTATGGAAAGTGTTAAGTTTTATGTCTGTCCTTTTTTACTGTCAATGAATCACAGTATATCCTTGAATGAAACACTGTAAACTATCTAATACCGACTAGACATCCGCACTTTAAGTGTAGTATTTTGTTATGGACAAGAAGCAGAAGTCTTTGAGTTGTTAATGTCATTACTGATGCTGGCTTGTGTAGCCACCTTGCCTCTAAATGGACTTGGAAAATGACATTAACTGTCATCAGTAATCCAATCATACCCAATGATTTAGGTGTAATGGAGAAATTGTATCGACCAATTTTCATCAGATTTGTAATAAACCCACAATTATCCAATTACATGTTCGTACAAAGACTTTGATGCAGGCCAAGCTACCAGATTTGATTGTGATGTTTATCTTAGCCATGGAGGATTGCTCCCATAACTCTTCTGTAAATAGTGGATGTTTTTCTCTCACGCCTCATCTACTTGCATAATGTTCTGTCTGATGCATTTGATGATATACTCATTTATTGCCCATACAGTACAAACATTGGCTAATATTGGAACATCAGATTTTTTTCAGTTTCAACTTTCAAGAAATTTCTATGATATTCTGATTCATGTAAGCTATTGTAAGGAATTGTTCATTCTTAAGGTTGATATGTTAATTCTACCCAAATTCAGAAATGTTCTGAAGTGAAAATAATAAAACCTTATAGCTATGTGATTAAAATGAGGGTGGTTGTAAGTGGTTTGGGGACAATATATATATATATATAAACAGGGGATTTCATCAGGTGTATAAGTATTTAATATAGAAAAACACAGTCCAGATATTCGTGCTTGTCAATCTCCTTTATCCACACAAGATCTTTCGCCGTTCAACAGCTCTTTGGGTGAAATGAAAACTTTAACTTACATTGGCGACGCATAACAGAAGTATAATATATATTCTCTATGTTTCAGATGCTCCAACTGTTGATGGTGTTCTCTATGTTTCAGATGCTCAAACTGTTGATGGTGTTCTCTATGTTACAGTTGTTCCAACTGTTGATGGTGTTCTCTATGTTTCAGATGCTCCATCTGTTGATGGTGTTCTCTATGTTACAGTTGTTCCAACTGTTGATGGTGTTCTCTATGCTTCAGATGCTTCAACTGTTGATGGTGTTCTCTATGCTTCAGATGCTTCAACTGTTGATGGTGTTCTCTATGTTACAGTTGTTCCAACTGTTGATGGTGTTCTCTATGCTTCAGATGATTCAACTGTTGATGGTGTTCTCTATGCTTCAGATGTTCCAACTGTTGATGGTGTTCTCTATGTTACAGTTGTTCCAACTGTTGATGGTGATCTCCATGTTTCAGTTGCTCCATCTGTTGATGGTGTTCTCTTTGTTTCAGTTGTTCCAACTGTTGATGGTGTTCTCTATGTTTCAGATGCTCCATCTGTTGATGGTGTTCTCTTTGTTTCAGTTGTTCCAACTGTTGATGGTGTTCTCTATGTTTCAGATGCTCCAACTGTTGATGGTGTTCTCTTTGCTTCAGATGCTCCAACTGTTGATGGTGTTCTCTATGCTTCAGATGCTTCAACTGTCGATGGTGTTCTCTATGTTTCAGATGCTCCAACTGTTGATGGTGTTCTCTTTGCTTCAGATGCTCCAACTGTTGATGGTGTTCTCTATGCTTCAGATGCTTCAACTGTTGATGGTGTTCTCTATGTTTCAGATGCTCCAACTGTTGATGGTGTTCTCTATGTTTCAGTTGCTCCAACCGTTGATGGTGTTCTCTTTGTTTCAGTTGCTCCATCTGTTGATGGTGTTCTCTATGTTTCAGTTGCTTGAACTGTTGATGGTGTTCTCTATGTTTCAGATGTTGGTGGACCATGTCAGTCAGATGGTAACCCACAAAACGTTTCGTCTGCTGATTCCTCTGCTAATTTTTACTGGCCTACAACAAGGATTCATGTATTCAGATTTTAACCAGGTAATGAATCTTCAATTAACTGAGATAGCCCAATATATTTTACTCCAAATGTGACACTGTCGGATCTGTTTCCTCCTCCCAAAATGATTTGTATAACAATACTGTAACCACACATTCTGTTTTCTTCTTTCATGCCTGGCTACAACTAAGTAGTGTTTTCTGTTTGAGAAATTCATAAGGGCCATAAGCAATAATCTTTACTTCATCAGAGAATGATCAGTAAAATATATCTGCTGGAAAACAGAGTCAGCTAGTATTGAAAAGAATTGGCCCTAAAACAATATCACTATGACTGTAGGGTGTAGGGGGTTTTTAGGAGGTGAATGAGCCTTGTACACCATGATACCTAAGATCAAGTTGTATATACATGAACTTGTAAGACCATGTACACCCTGCTTTCATTATGAATTCACAAGTCACAGACATATTAGGGTGAAATGTTTGTGTAGGACAGTTAGATCTTGTGATTGCCATTTGGCTTTTGGTAACTCTGTTTGGTATCTCAAAATGCAAAGAGGATCAGTTATGGTGTGACAAGCAAGTGACGTCACATCAAACATTATGAAGTCATTATGCTCTGCTAGGGTTTGTATACGTTTTTATACAAATCGGTAGCGGACCAATCAAATAGCTAGATTCCTAAACAAGTAATGACAATACTGTACCAAACCATGGATGTATGTGTATTGCTAACCACTGACCCACTTGCCCTTTGGTCATATCACATGCAGCCTATTTCTGCTGACAATGGGCCAAAGGACCAAGTGTTAAGTTAATCCCTGTTCTATTTATAGCCAATATCTATCCTCATTTACTAAAACAATGTAATATTTGTTTAGAATGTTTATGTTTTGTGTATCCTTCCTTCCCATGAAGTAAGGGCAGTGGGGTAGCGTAGTGGTTTAAAGTGTTCGATTCCCCACATGGGTAAAATGTGTGAAGTCTATTTCTGGTGTCCCCCACCGTGGTATTGCTGGAATATTGCTAAAAGCATTGTAAAACCATAACTAACTAACTAACTAACTAACTAACTAACTAACTAACTAACTAACTAACTAACTAACTAACTAACTAACTAACTAAAACTAACTAACTAACTAACTAACTAACTAACTAACTCACTAACTCACTCACTCACTCACTCACTCACTCACTCACTCACTCACTCACTCACTCTACAGTAAGGTGTTTGGTCAGTTCTAGAATGACGTCAGGCACTGAAACCGTGTACACCTCCAACATGCTCTTGGTATGTGCACATTGTTGCACATATTGTATTCATCGTAATAAGTGCCTTGAGTGCTTTGAAAATTGACATAATTAAAACCATAAACAACAACTTATATTTATCTTCAGACATCGAGCGGTACTGAAGAAACAGTTCAAACGTCAATGAACCTAAAACCATTTTCATATAGTTACAAGGCAGTTATACACCCCTTCTAAATAATGCTACTGTTTTCTGTTGAAAAGGAATTTGTAATATAGAAAAAAAATACAGACTGTAAAAGATAAATATTAGTTATTGGAGTAGGGCGTTTAATACGGCGAATATGGTACTTATGAATGGATCTTTACCTAAGTTGGCATACATTCTCAAGGGCATGGTCTCCATTTGATTAGATTTTTGGTTGACTTGTCTGAGGTCAAAATACCAGAGATGATATCAGCCTCCCATTGGGTGGGCAGCAGAGGGCACAGATCACTTGATGTGTAAAGTGCCCCGTAGGGCAGTGAGGTGTTATTATCAAACAGTATCATCCCCTGCCAAGTGGGAGTGGGATCAAGGCTTTAGTGCAGTCCTACCACTGGCCAAAAGTCTGTTACAATGACAAATGGAAAGCTATTGGAAATATTTCTCTGAAATTTTACATGGTAGCTCCATGATAGGAAGTTCATATCAAGTAAATAAATTACTTAATAATTTTTATAATTGTGGCTGTAGTTTTTACTCCAACCTGGATTGTTAGCTGTGTATGATGCTGTATAGTTTTCAGGATACTGCCAAGTCTGACACTCTGTTGTGACCTGGTGACCAGCACTTTATTTTGAGGCAGCCAACTTAGAACATGTGGTCGGACCCAGTCACATGACTGATTGTGCGAGATCATACCCTGATGACATACTCATTGTTTCAATCACTTGTTTGCCTGGCCCGCACTGGAATATTTGCAGACTGTGACATAAAACAACAAGCTAACAAAATAAAAACATCAAAACTTACAACTTTAGTGACAAAATCCTTGCCAGGGGCCTTAATAGAGTTATTATGCCCATTAAGTTGGAGTGATCGATCCCTATTGAATGGAGTTATGGCCCTTGGTTTAAATATGGATATCATTCTTATTCCTGTAAGACCATCCATAGTTTTTGTATGTCTTTCTCCTCTGCAACTTCAACCAGCAAGAGTGCAGGTGGGCAAAATTTTGGAGAAACATAAATTTTTTTCACTAATTGTGCAACTTGTTTTATGAAATTCTAAAGTTTAGAACACTTCATAACAGTGCTTAAATCAATTTATGATCTAGATCAAGTCACTTTGCTTTGGATGCGAACTTTTTATAAATATAGCTGAAGAAAGATCAAGCTGACCTTGTTTGTCACATGAGGGCATAAATTTCCACAGCAGTGGGGGAAATTAAGATAAGAAAACTTTTCAATATTTCATGTTGGAATGAAAATTCAGGGCAAGCAGGAGGGAGATGAGAAACAGAAAAAAGATACAGACACCTTAAGCAAGATGGAAGAGCTATCTAATACTCTCACAGAAGGTGTTTGAGGTGTGAATATGTTTGTTTGTTTGTCTTGCAGCACTATGTGACATGCACTCTTGGAGAGGAGTATGTGGGCTACACAATGATCACTATGGGGATCTGCAGCATGCTGGGATCCATCTTGGTGGCACTAACTGGGAAGCGGATCCCCCGTGAGGTGGTGCTGGGATTCGGTGGCATCATGCACATTGCACTCATGATCGGATTCCTTATATGGATACCAGACAACCACCCAGTGTTGTTCTTTGTCCTGGCCGGAGCATGGGGCATCTGTGACGCGGTGTGGCAGACACAGTGTAACAGTAAGTGTTCTGAGAGTTCAACACCTCACATTGGTTGAGTGAAGTGTTAAGGTTGTCAAATTGGTTGTGACTGTTTTAGCAACAATATCTAGAGATATATTTCAGTTGGTTGCTATGTGCAGTAGTGGTAGGTCACTAGGATATTCTTATGATGAGTTGCAACCCCCGGCATTGGTTGTGACACTAAGCACGTCCAAACTATGTCGTGATGTATCAACCTCAAAGGCATTGGGGATTTCTCTTGACATTGTTCCCGGCATTGGTTGTGACACTGAGCACGTCCAAGCTATGTCGTGATGTATCAACCTCAATGGCATTGGGGATTTCTCTTGAAATACCTGTCACTTCTGTCAATTATAGCCAAAATTCACTTTCATCATCAAACACATATATCAGCATATATCATAATTAGGGTAGGGCCTTCATTCACATAAGGTTCTCAAAGCCCTTCATTGAAGGCTTTTCGAAAAGTAGAGAACTTTGTCAATGGTCAATGAAAAATCTTTTTGTAAACTGAATGAAATGGTACTGCTTTACAGGTATACATGTATTCATAATTTCATGTTATTGATGACAAGTGATGACAAGCTTGTCTTACAAGTATAAGGTCATTATCACCTGTCTTCTAGACCATTTAAGGCTTCTATAGATTTGAAATTTCATTGTCACTAATTTTGCTGAAACCTATATCTCAACATATCGTTCCATCTTATTTCTTAATGATTATAAATAGTTCATATTGCATCTGTGAACCATCTTGTAAAATTGTAGCCCTTTAACATGGTTACAGAAGAGGTCAATCTCTTTGTTACAGCTCTCATCTGTCTAACCTGTGTAGATGAGCCGGATATAGCATTTGCCAACTACCGCCTGCTCCAGAGCCTGGGCCTCACCATCGCATTCTGCTGCGGAACGTTCATGTGTGTGTCGGCCAAGCTGTACATGCTGATGACTATGTTGGTAGTGGCCATCATGTTCTATGTGCTGGCTGAGTATCGAGTCAGGCATGTAGATGAAGATGATGTATTTGAGGACCACGCCTGAAGACAATGTCATCATCACTGGAAGTCATAGGATGCTGAATATGTTGGAGCTTACCTAGAGAACTCACTGATGTATTCATTCTTCTTTCTCTGGATATCTGTTTTGAGTGCTACTCAAATACATTGATGAGAGAAAAGAAATGATGATATTAGGGTTAAGTTACAAATGAGAATAGCCAATGTTCAAGTTGGGTTATGTCATTGATCTTGTTCCACCTGTCATCAACTTGGACATTTTAGACATCTCCTCCGAGGTCAGTGGGGTTATAAGACTGTATCAGGATGATCTCAGCAATGATGGCTCTATATTTTGGTCACAATTTTGATTTATAACACAACTGTCATAGCAGCCATATTGAAAAGGTTGAAAACTATTTTGAAAGTGTATTAGTGAATTAGTGAATGTACCCAGTATAGTGAAAATGGCTGTGGTGTGGAAACAGTTGTGGCTTGTTTTGTACATACTTCCTGTTGACTAATTAATTACCTGTAGGATTTTATTTTAGAATTTGATCTATGTTTATTTAACACAATTCAGGTGAGCTACCACGGGGATTAACAGATTTATATGGAGTAGACAAATTACACTGACTCCGATACACAGAACACCAACAAGGTGATTAACAGGTGTTACATGGAGTAGACACATTACACTGACTTCGATACACAGAACACCAACACAATGATTAACAGGTGTTACATGGAGAAGACACATTATACTGACTCCGATACACAGAACACCCACAAGGTGATTAACAGATGTTATAATGGAGGAAAAGATCTGATTTTAATGAGATTTGATTTTTGCTGATAACCGGATATGAAAGTATTCGCTTTTCCTGCAGCCGCCATTGTGTGACGCACATCAGGTGATCTGTAAATCACACAGCATCTGTGATGCGGACACATCCTGGCTGATGAGGACAGGACTCTAATTCTGGTCTACATGAGGACCAAAACTGTTTGGAAATGGAGTTTCCCCTTTATTCTAAAGTGTTGCTATGTTATTTGTGAGCTATTAAGATGACTTCTAGGGTAGCACTGCTGGAAGATGCATGCACCTTAGCCCATTTGGATTGGGATCCTCACAAGTGGAGGGAGAGACAGGAAGGGGATGATGTCCTCAGCACTGCAAATGAAAACATTCAGAAGGGAAAGGGCCAGCAGATCCTGCAACAATGCCAGCTGTTCAAGTCCAAACAGAATAATTTGCTGCTTGGTAATGCCACCACTATGTTTCCAGCTATTCCAGACAGTGTCTACAAGATTGCTGCTATCTTCTCTGATGACGACTGATGCAACACGCTGGTGCAGATCACTAGCAGGGATCCAGAAACCGGTCTGTGCGCCGGACTTGTCCAACTAGTGATTCACTAGCCAACTAAATGTTGTACAAATATTATGCAAATGTATTGATTTGTGTGGTAAAGACAGACATTTTTTAACTGTTTTTTTATGCTGATTATGCGACTGAAATATTTCATTTGTATGACGTACAGCCTTGAGAGATCTTACCTGTGATGCACTACACATAGGAGAGACATTGTGATGGTGTTGGTGCACCACACGTAGGAGAGACATTGTGATGGTGTTGGTGCACCACACGTAGGAGAGACACGATGGAGTTGGTACACCACACGTAGGAGAGACACGATGGAGTTGGTGCACCACACGTAGGAGAGACATGATGGTGTTGGTGCACCACAGGTAGGAGAGACATTGTGATGGAGTTGGTGCACCACACGTAGGAGAGACACGATGGAGTTAGTGCACCACACGGAGAGACATTGTCATGGAGTTGGTGCACCACACGTAGGAGAGACATCGGATGGTGTTGGTGCACCACACGTAGGAGAGACACGATGGAGTTGGAGCACCACACGTAGGAGAGACATGATGGTGTTGGTGCACCATACGTAGGAGAGACATTGTGATGGTGTTGGTGCACCACACGTAGGAGAGACATTGTGACAGAGTTAGTGCACCACACGTAGGAGAGACATTGTGATGGAGTTGGTGCACCAGACGTAAGAGAGACACGTTGGAGTTGGTGCAGCACACGTAGGAGAGACACGATGGAGTTGGTGCACCACACGTAGGAGAGACGATGGAGTTGGAGCACCACACGTAGGAGAGACACGCTGGAGTTGGTGCACCACATGTAGGAGAGACATTGTGATGGAGTTGGTGCACCACACGTAGGAGAGACATTGTGATGGTGTTGGTGCACCATACGTAGGAGAGACATTGTGACAGAGTTGGTGCACCACACGTAGGAGAGACATTGTGATGGTGTTGGTGCACCACACGTAGGAGAGACATTTGGATGGAGTTGGTGCACCACACGTAGGAGAGACACGATGGAGTTGGTGCACCACACGTAGGAGAGACACGATGGAGTTAGAGCACCACACATAGGAGAGACATGATGGAGTCAGTTTACCACACGTAGGAGAGACACGATAGAGTTGGTGCACCACACGTAGGAGAGACATTGTGATGGTGTTGGAGCACCACACGTAGGAGAGACATGATGGAGTTGGTGCACCACATGTAGGAGAGACACGATGGAGTTGGTGCACCACATGTAGGAGAGACATTGTGATGGTGTTGGTGCACCACACGTAGGAGAGACACGATAGAGTTGGTGCACCACACGTAGGAGAGACATTGTGATGGTGTTGGTGCACCACACGTAGGAGAGACACGATGGAGTTGGTGCACCACATGTAGGAGAGACATTGTGATGGAGTTGGTGCACCACATGTAGGAGAGACATTGTGATGGTGTTGGTGCACCACACGTAGGAGAGACATTGCTATGGAGTTGGTGCACCACACGTAGGAGAGACAATGTGATGGAGTTTGTGCACCACACGTAGCAGAGACATTGTGATGGTGTTGGTGCACCACACGTAGGAGAGACACGATAGAGTTGGTGCACCACACGTAGGAGAGACATTGTGATGGTGTTGGTGCACCACACGTAGGAGAGACACGATGGAGTTGGTGCACCACATGTAGAAGAGACATTGTGATGGAGTTGGTGCACCACACGTAGGAGAGACACGATGGAGTTAGTGCACCACACGGAGAGACATTGTCATGGAGTTGGTGCACCACACGTAGGAGAGACACGAAGGAGTCGCTGCACCACACGTAGGAGAGACACGATGGAGTTGGTGCACCACATGTAGGAGAGACATTGTGATGGAGTTGGAGCACCACACGTAGGAGAGACACGATGGAGTTGGTGCACCACACGTAGGAGAGACACGATGGAGTTGGTGCACCACACATAGGAGAGACATTGTGATGGTGTTGGTGCACCACACGTAGGAGAGACATTTGGATGGAGTTGGAGCACCACACGTAGGAGAGACATTGTGATGGAGTTGGTGCACCACACGTAGGAGAGACATTTTGATGGAGTTGGAGCACCACACGTAGGAGAGACACGATGGAGTTGGTGCACCACATGTAGGAGAGACACGCTGGAGTTGGTGCACCACACGTAGGAGAGACATTGTGATGGTGTTGGAGCACCACACGTAGGAGAGACATTGTGATGGAGTTGGTGCACCACACATAGGAGAGACATTGTGATGGAGTTGGAGCACCACACGAAGGCGAGACATGATGGAGTTGGTGCACCACACGTAGGAGAGACATTGGGATTGAGTTGGTGCACCACACATAGGAGAGACATTGTGATGGTGTTGGAGCACCACACGTAGGAGAGACACGATGGAGTTGGAGCACCAGACGTAGGAGAGACATTGTGACAGAGTTAGTGCACCACACGTAGGAGAGACATTGTGATGGAGTTGGTGCACCAGACGTAAGAGAGACACGTTGGAGTTGGTGCACCACACGTAGGAGAGACATGATGGAGTTGGAGCACCACACGTAGGAGAGACATGATGGAGTTGGTGCACCACACGTAGCAGAGACATTGTGATGGAGTTGGTGCACCACACGTAGGAGAGACATTGTGATGGAGTTGGTACACCACACGTAGGAGAGACATTGTGATGGAGTTGGTGCATCACACGTAGGAGAGACACGCTGGAGTCAGTTTACCACACGTAGGAGAGACACGCTGGAGTTGGTGCACCACACGTAGGAGAGACATGGTTATTGAGTTGGTGCAATTCACATAGAAGAGACACAACACAGCTATCTGTAAGTGGCTATCCTGTAAAGCTGCTGAGAGATTTTGCAATTGCTAACTGTTGTAAATGTTTGTGAAATACTGACTGGGTGAGTCACTTCCTAATGTAACAGTCTGTCAGGTGCCAAGTGAATACTGTAAGCAGCTGATGTTATGTCTGTGACATGGATAATTTGCAGGCTGTTAAAGTGTGTAGCTACTTTTGATGACAACCAATGTTTTATATATCTGTAACATGACAATATGCAGTTACTTGTGACATGCCATCACCTCTGATGTTGACAAGAATGTAAATTCCGACTTCTCTGCCTCCTTGACCTGTGAAAGGTTGGCAACAATTGACAAGACAGAATATTCATGAACTAGCTGGTGTCAAGGTTGAAAACACCACCACTCTTCATCTCTGAAGACTGGACACAGTTATCAAACTGACGCGCCAAATAATTTACTCCCATTTTGTTTTCTGTTGTGTAATGTTCCTGGAGGTGCTGCATGATGGATTAGCTACTGTGAGAAACACACCACGTTTTCAGAGAAACTGCCATTTCTCTACATGAAAGACTAAGCCCTGATCCTGGATAGTGATGTTATGTCTATGTGGATTCACTGTCCAGTCTGCGGGGTTCACCCTTTTAGGAAGCATTTGCAATGGAATGGCTTCTTCAAAGTGTTGTGTAAAAATACATGTGATGTATTGGGCCCATCAAAAGTAAGCACAATAGGGACAATCATTGATGCTTGCTGATAACGGGTCAGTATGCCTGTGCATATTAAGGGCACATTTTCTCACACAGAAACATCAAAGCCAACTTAATGCCAAGAACAGGTGAGTTAACAACAGTTGCAGAATGTTGAAAGTGGAGTGTGGCAGGGAAGGAGCTTATCAGCCAGCAGGGCTGGGCTGAAACCATGGCTCTGTCTCAAATACATCAAGATGTGGAAAATGGAGCTGGTTTGTGAAATATTGTCATCATTTCTAGAACTGAAATGATCTGTATATTGGTTGAGTATATGAGCATGGTGAGCGAAGTCTGAGCATGGTGTATATGCTTTTATAACAATGTTGATGGGGGGTATTATGATACAAATGTTTGTAAATATGACATTTGTCAATTTTGAATCATAATAATTGTTGCACAGAATATTTAATTTCCAAGGTATCCTCACATTTCATTCCATGTTTGCAAGTCAGAGTTCAAGTTTCTCTACTGCTGGAGCGTCTTTCTATATTCAGCAGCATCAATAAGTTCAGTGTTAACTGTTTTCTGAAATTTGATCCAGAGTGTGCAATTTAAAATTAAGTTGAAGCTGACAATATTGTTGCATGTTCAACAAGAATTAGGTACAGCATTATTTCTCATGGTATTAACCCAAATTGCATTTTTTTTTGTGTAAAATTCTGACTGAGTAGAAAGATCAACAGCGTTTATGTGACTTTCTAAACTTTCATCATCATTCTATATTTAGTCTTCTATTTCCTAATGTACAACACAGATATATGTTAGACAAGTATTGTAGTATTATACAAGATGCCCTTTCTTAAACTTGCTGTACAGAGGAAAAGAAAAGTTTTCATTGCAATAAAGAATAAGCATGGTGAGGTAATCTGTCGACCTTGGATTTCCTTCAACTTTCGAAGAACTCAAAACACTGTTCTGACATATTGAAGTTTAGGGAAGTTTTTGCTTTGCTCTCAGTGAACGGGAAACAATATTGTAAAGTAGTTTGCTGAAGTGTTGTACTTGGCTTAGAATGAAGTGTGACTGACGTGACTAACGCTGACTCAGTGTTGGCTGTGTCAGGTTGGGGACGACAGCAGGCCTGCAGTGAAGCCCAAGAGTACTCGCTTCACTGACCCCATCTTCCCCATCATTTGATTACAATCCTCAGCCCACTCACATGTCAGTGATGTTGCCATTAAGTACTCATCAGAGATGTGGTAAGCGTCAGCAGCCTGTGAACTGCGGGTTGCTGCGAGGAGTGATGCCAGAGAGGCGGGACATTGGTTCCAATGGTAATGCAGATAGGCTTATATAGTTGTACATAGGACCGATAAGGAGGGGAGCAGGTACTTGATGCTGAGAGGCACTGGTTTTGTAGATTTAACTTAAAATTGAATCAAATATATTTGTTATGATGAGGATTACATGACCAGTGGTCAGTAGAAGTGTATGAGATGAAATAGATGTAAATACTTAAGTACTTACTAACTGATTGTACTTATAATCATGACTGTGAGACAGCATGTCATCATGTGGACTAGGAAAGACCTGTGTGACACAGGTCATCATGTGGACTAGAAAAGACCTGTGTGACACTGGTCATCATGTGGACTAGGAAAGACCTGTGTGACACTGGTCATCATGTGGACTAGGAAAGACCTGTGTGACACAGGTCATAGACATTGACCACTCTGGGGAATCTTGATAAACGTAGCATCCTATTTCAGGGCAGCAGATCCCATCACAGATAAGGGATACAACTCTGCACAGAGAATTAAGAGAGGGTTACCCAAATCACAATTCATGTGAGTCAGTGCAGTTCAAAGATAACAATTTCAGGAAACATGAATTAAATATATGCTCATATAGCTGGTAAAATATGGATTATGTCACAAACTATATTTGCAACTTTGCTTCACAGCATTATAAATAAGTGGACAACAATTTATGAAGGGTAGGCCAAACAAATATCATACATATAATTTATGAATCAATCACGATGCAGAATTAGATCATCAGCCAGCACCAACCAATAATGTGACCTGTTTTAGTTTTTGTTGAGTTTTCTGTAATGTGGTCTTTTTGTGAATGTATATGATCTGGACATACAAGCATTGTATTGAGGATTTGTTTGCACCATAAACATATGTATTCTCTCAGAATGATCTTCATTTCATTCAATTTAATTACAGTAGTTGTATATCTCAAGTATGTATAGAATCTTAGGTGTACAGATTCATTTGTGCATTTCTTTATCATGTTGACTATGTTAGTGTGAAGACTTGTAACATTGGTATGAATGATGAGCAATAGGAGTCGTGATGTTCCACAGGACTCTCTGTCTTATTGATGTTTCTGATGTAGGTAAAGTATTGCTGCAGGTCTCACATGTCACAGAGGGCCAACACAGATGACTGATTCAGAACCTTTCTTCCACATCTTCTCCACAGCATTCATCATCATAGTCTCTGCCATTAGTCTTCTCACTCCCACCTCTTATCATCTGACGGCACCTTTCAAACCAATCTGTCTGCCAATATGACACCTATGTATGGCTGTATATGGCCAATAACTGAAATTACTTCGAGACTTTCAAAGACTTCCAGGTATGTAAGTTTCGCTCTAGCAAATTCTGTGCACTGACTGTATGATTACAGTTGCTAATATCTGTTGTTTAGGAGACTCTTTCCACAAATGTGCTTCCTACACAGAACCCTTACATTTTGTCCATGATGGCTGCCCATGTAAAATGAGTCCCTCAGGCAAGATGAACTAAACAATGTCATGCATCCCTCAGCCTGTGTACTCTGGCATAAACAGTACAACTGCACTGAATGAATGCTTGTGGCAACCTGCTCTTCCAACAGACCAGACCGCTGGGGTGGCCCTGTATTACTGTGGCTGGTGGGGTGGCTCACCTACCTGTATCACCGGGGCTGGTGGGGTGGCTCACCTACCTGTATCACTGGGGCTGGTGGGGTGGCCCAGCTACCTGTATCACTGGGGCTGGTGGGGTGGCCCAGCTACCTGTATCACTAGGGCTGGTGGGGTGGCTCACCTACCTGTATCACTCAGACTGGTGGGGTGGCTCACCTACCTGTATCACTGGGGCTGGTGGGGTGGCCCAGCTACCTGTATCACTAGGGCTGGTGGGGGGGCTCACCTACCTGTATCACTAGGGCTGGTGGGGTGGCTCACCTACCTGTATCACTGGGGATGGTGGGGCGGCCCAGCTACCTGTATCACTCAGACTGGTGGGGTGGCTCACCTACCTGTATCACTAGGGCTGGAGGGGTGGCTCACCTACCTGTATCACTAGGGCTGATGGGGTGACCCAGTTACCTGTATCACTCAGACTGGTGGGGTGGCTCACCAACCTGTATCACTGGTACTGGTGGGGTGGCTCACCTACCTGTATCACTAGGGCTGATGGGGTGACCCAGTTACCTGTATCACTCAGACTGGTGGGGAGGCTCACCTACCTGTATCACTGGGACTGGTGGGGTGGCTCACCTACCTGTATCACTAGGGCTGATGGGGTGACCCAGTTACCTGTATCACTCAGACTGGTTGGGTGGCTCACCAACCTGTATCACTGGTACTGGTGGGGTGGCTCACCTACCTGTATCACTAGGGCTGGTGGGGTGGCTAACTTACCTGTATCACTGGGGCTGGTGGGATGGCCCAGGTACCTGTAACACTCAGACTGGTGGGGTGGCCGTGGTACCTGTATCACTAGGGCTGGTGGGGTGGCCCAGGTACCTGGATCACTAGGGCTGGTGGGGTGGCCCAGGTACCTGTATCACTCAGACTGGTGGGGTGGCCGTAGTACCTGTATCACTAGGGCTGGTGGGGTGGCCCAGGTACCTGTTTCACTAGGGTAGGTGGGGTGGCCCAGGTACCTGTATCACTCAGACTGGTGGGGTGGCTCACCTACCTGTATCACTAGGGCTGGTGGGGTGGCTCACCTACCTGTATCACTCAGACTGGTGGGGTGGCCCAGCTACCTGTATCACTAGGGCTGGTGGGGTGGCTAACTTACCTGTATCACTGGGGCTGGTGGGGTGGCCCAGGTACCTGTAACACTAGGGTTGGTGGGGTGGCCCAGGTACCTGTATCACTAGGGCTGGTGGGGTGGCCCAGGTACCTGCATCACTCAGACTGGTGGGGTGGCCCAGGTACCTGTATCACTAGGGTAGGTGGGGTGGCTCACCTACCTGTATCACTAGGGGAGGTGGGGTGGCCCAGGTACCTGTATCACTAGGGTAGGTGGGGTGGCCCAGGTACCTGTATCACTAGGGTAGGTGGGGTGGCAAAGTTACCTGTATCACTAGGGCTGGTGGGGTGGCATAGTGGCTTCCATACATGTTTGCATTCCATGAGGAGAATGTGTCATTTTGTTAGACACATAAGTTGCAATGTGTATATTAGACAAACACAAATGAAAGCAACAGTGTACACGTACCATACCAGCAGTGCCATTTACAGATGCACAACCACATCATTGTGACTGATTCTTGAGCAGGACAGTCAGGATCATTAATAGAAACTTGATTAATAAAGGCAATTTGTATGATACCAAACACTCTTCATGAACAAGATCTCACAGTATTTTGGAAACTAACTGGGCAATCTATATTGCTAGAGGAATTGACACTATCTCTTTAAGAAATCGGGCGTATGATGGACGATCCTTGAGAACAATGTGAGATCCCACTAGACAGCCTTTTTACTTCCAGATTGTGGTTCCAACAACTGACACACTGAGCTATCCCTGACAGACTTTGGTCCTTGCCCCCAGGCCCTCTGCACTGCTCCTCGGTAGCTTCAGTGAGACTAATACCCTCAGTAATGCTTATTGATATACCCTAGTATAGCCATTTCGTGAATACAAACTATCAAGTTCAGCCTTTCACAAAACACAGAGAACAATAATTTCTTTAAGAAAAGATATATCTGATCCTAATTAGAGAATAATGTAGCTATTGTAAGGCTATTGCAAATCATAGCCATATAAAGATAGATAACTGTGCGTGATCATTGGTTGAGTACTAGTGCTGTATACTGGCATGGCTATACTTTCTCTGGCCTAGTCCACATGGACCCATCCTAACCTGATGAAGCTAAGTTTGTTCACGCTTTGCCTCCCAACTAAGCAGCTAAACTAGTGCCACTGTGGTTCATCCCAAGAGTCGGCATGTTGAAGCTGGTCAGGGACAGTTCACTCCAGTGATTGTGGCTTTAGACTCATTTCAGAATTTTGTCAGCTTCTATTCAGATTTGAGGGAAATAACGCTCACTACATGTAGGTGCATTCAGAATTCTACCATTTGAAAACACGTGTCAGTGAGTGTTAGTTTTTACTATTTCAAGAGACAATGGTTATTTAAATAATTTTTCTTGATATGTATGTTCTTTTTAACATTTCATAACTACAGATACTATTTATCCGTCAGAGAATTGTTAAGCTTTTATGTGAATTTAATATGGTTGTATTTTACTTAACGACAATGTTTCCTCTTCTATTTCATTTTAAGTGTTACTCAGTGGTAATGCTAATGTAGTAGTCTCTTACAAAAAATATATGTAGTTTCCCAACCAGTTGTAATTTTTGGGTATCCAGACAAAGTTTGCCTGATGTATATACTGTGAAGTAATACTTTTTACACTTCAACCAACAGTAGGTTTGTCCATCTTTGTTCCTCATTATAAATACCATGACAATGTTGACCATCCATATGATATGTGATCCCTGTGTGGGTTACAACACAACTCCACTGCATGTAGATAGACGGTCCGTACAGACAGACACCTACCAACATGTACTTCTTTCTGTGTGCAATAAACCAGTGCAACAACCTCATTCAGGATCCTT